GCCGCCGCCGCCATGTCGTGAAGGGTCTGTGTGTTTCGTTGTGAAAGTGAAACTACTTTGTTTGGCCTTCCAAAAGAGGACGATATCCGCTTCGTCATGCCTAGAGCTGATCCGTGCTGGTCGCTGAGGAAATACACTAACTTCTCGCTGTGGATCGCCGGACCGGCTTTCACCGTGGACAAAGCGGAGTCCAGCCTGTGGTCGTCACATGTGGTTGCAGCAAGCCCGCCCGCCACCGCTCACTGAAGCCAGCCTCCGCTCACTCTAGCCCGCCTTGTGTGACGCTGTGTTTCATTGTGAAAGTGAAACTACTTTGTTTGGCCTTCCAAAAGAGGACACGACTAGAAATCAGTGGTTAAGTTGTATTTACAACACTGCTCCAGTTCAACCCAAATATTCAGATGTGTGCATCACATTTTATGGAGGACTGTTTCCTGATGCTGGTAGAGTAGACTACAATGCCGGCTGTTCTGACTTTTATAATTAAAGAATTTGCCACTGACAATTCAAACGCAAGTTTTGAGCAGTGTAGAGTAGCATTTGTAGTTTGTCATTTCTCCGATCACAAATGCAGACATGGTTTTATGTTTACGCGGCGCGATGCAATGCAGCGCATAAAAAGACAGTATAAGTCATTATAATCCATAATTATGTCCCCACTGGATGCAACAAATGCCTCGTTTATAATGGGTTTTAATGATTTCGTCTCGTCGCTCCGGCCGGGACAAGGCATCACAGTATGGTAAGGGGCGTAACATTTTCGTCACACGCTTGAGGTATTCGGCCAATCACAACGCACTGGATAGCTGGCCAATCAGAGCACTCCTCGCTTTTCAGACCGATGAGCTTTGTAAAAATCTATGCATTTCAGAAAGGCGGGGCATAGAGGAGAAACAATAATGTACAGTATGTGGAAAATAATGTGTTTTTTGAACCCTAAACCGCATAAACACATTTCATTACCCTAAATACACAAAATAATGTTCTTTTTAGCAACATCATATGACCCCTTTAAGTTTTTTTCTTAAAAATTACAAGAAACCTCCAAAGTAGTAACGTTTGGAATACAAAATATTCTGAATTGTTTTCTCAAGTTACAAAATAAGATAAAAGAAGATTTTTTTTCTTAATATTATGAATCTGGCCACAGTTCTCTGAGAATATTACAAAATTAAAAAAAAAATTCATGAACTCTAGAGAATGTCAGTAGATCCTCTAGTAAAACGAACATAATGGAAAGTCTTTGAGAAACCTGAAATACATATTGAAGTTCTTTGAGTTCCCAATATTATATTTAGGGTTCAGTGTTTCAGTCGGAAGAATCACAATTGAAGCCTCAAGTATCTTTTCACTTTTACACTGTTGAGTCTGTTCTGGACTTGAGTAGATGAAGAGATGAGAAACATTCTCAAAAATAGTTCATTATGTATCAGAAATAGTATGATCTTCGTTATTACCAGCAGACATAATCTAGTTCTCTTGCGTCATGATAAACTGTATGTGTAAGAGCACAGATCATCTCCAGACTCACTGTTTTGGACGATGTCCTGCATCTTCTTCCAGACTCTGAAGGGCAGGTTGCCCAAGTAACGTGGCACATGAATCAAAGCTCCAGAAGGTGTCTGTGGATCCGGCTGTGAGATCTGGACTCTGGAACAACATTCAGGAGTCAGAACTGTAGTGGCTTTTGCTTCAGAAGCAGAGAGACCAGAGACACCAGCAGATCACTCACCTTTCCATTGAGACTGGAAACTTCTGCAGAACAAACACAATTTATCATCAAGAACTCAATCAATCAATCAATCAATCAATCAATCAATCAATCAGTCCATGATCTGAAATCAGACCTTTAGAAAGCAGACATCATTGTCTTTCATCATCTCCTCTGTGTCTTTGATTGTGTGTGAAAGAGCTGAGATGTGTCTGTTCATCTCCTCCAGCTTCTCCTTCATCATCTGCTTCTTCTGCTCCTCTTCCTCCCTCAGTGCAGTAATTGTGGCTTCTTCTTCATCTCTGAGAAACTGATGAAGCTTCTCAAACTGCTGTTTAATCTGACGCTCTGTGTACTCAGCTTGAGACTGAAATCAAACCACATTCACTTCAATCCTCTCAATCACATCAACACGTCACATCATTATTATATGAGATAAACTCAGATACATGACATAGCCTATAACAGATCCAGAAGCAGATTATTTCCAAAAATAATAAACTGACATCCATTATTTTAAATATAACAGTTATAATTGTGTGTAGTAATCCTACAGCTGTAAAGTCCTGATTGTTTCCTCACCCTCATGTGTTGAACGGTTTTCTTGAACTCTTCTTTAATGTTTTCATTGTGCTTAAGTTTCTCTTGTAAAGACTTCAGCGCTGTATTGAGCTCTTCCTAGGAATGAACACAATAAAAATGTATAAAAACACCAGATTACAGTGAAATAAATACAGTGATATGATCATACAGTGCAGATCCAATGACAGAATTTTCATTTTTGGGTGAACTATCCCTTTAACTGTATTCTGTGTTTACTGGGTTTGCCTTTTTTTATGTTGTATTTCGTTTGAATATCTAAAACTATTTAGTAGGGCTGTATGTACACAAAAACAGAAGAAATTAGTATGCGGCATATACTTTAAATAACATCCAAATTGCAGTTTCAATGCAGCTTCAAATGGTTCTACATGATCCCAGCCGAGTGATAACGGTCTTATCTAGTGAAACAATAGGTCATTTTCTAAAATAAAAATTTCTATACTTTTTACCCACAAATGCTCGTCTTGCACCAGCCCGACCTCACGCATTACATAGTCATGTTGGACGTGTGTCATGTGTGACGTAGGCAGAAGTACCAACCCAGTGTTTACAAAGCGAACGTGCAAAGAAAGTCAAACGCCCTTAACAAAAAAACAAAAAGTGTAATACAATGATGTCAGTTGATTTTGAAGTTGGAGGAGAAAATGAGATGGAGTTTTTCACCCTACCCTAACTTTCTGAACCAGAGTACACAGACGAAGAGCTAACCATGCGTGATGTTTACAGCGTTATTACGTAATGCGTGAAGTCACGCATGCGCATCGCAGAGTTAGTGCAATATGAGCGTTTGTGGTTAAAAAGTATATATATATTATTGTCTGGCTCTTTTGTGACGTCTTGGATATATATATATATATCTAAAAAAAATTTTTTAAAGAAAATTACCGATTGTTTCGCTAGATAATAGCCTTATTCTTCGGCTGGGATCATGTAGAGCCCTTTGAAGCTGCACTGAAATTGCAATTTGGACGTTCAACCCGTTTGGCCCCCATTGAAGTCCACTATTTGGAGAAATATCCTGGAATGTCTTCTGGAATGTTTTAAATTCATTTCGACTGAAGAAAGAAAGACATGAACATCTTGTATGACATGGGGGTGAGTAAATTATCAGGACATTTTTATTCTGGAAGTGAACTAATCCTTTAACTTACATTTTCAAGTTATCTGAACTAAAATTTAAGTTCATTGAACTTAATGTGGCATATTTTCTCAACTTGCAATAGCACATTCAACCAAATAAACAACACTTTTTCCCCCATATAAATTACTTTATTGTCCCTTGCAAATGAACACATGTTAAGGACAAGCTCGTAAAACATGTTGAAATCATGCAGAGATTCCAGAAATCTGCCTAAATGACATTTCAGTTACCTAGTGTTTAAAACAATTAACACATTGAAAGTGGATTACCATGAAAAAAACTCAACTGTGAAATAACTTTTAAACATGAAATCTCTGTCCCATTACATTTCAGTTACTCATTGTAAAAACTAAAAAAGGCATGCCACTGATGCTTGGAAACTGTAAAAACATGCAGAAACAACTTTTAACGGTAAAATACACAACAACACATCTCTAAGTAGAAATGCACAACACAATTCTAAATGTTTGTAAATACAAACTAAAAACATAAATTATATAGAAATTACAGAAAGAAATACAGAAAAAGAATTTCTCAACTAAATAAAATGTTTTAAAAAAAATCATCGTAAAATTAAATTTTTGTGTGAACTATCCCTTTAACACTATTTTGACTTTGTTTTTAGTATTGTGAATGCACCGTGTATCGTGAGATAAGTTCTGTGTCTCATATAATTTCATGACATTTAATCATTTAGTAGATGCTTTAATCCAAACCAACTTACAATTGAGAACAACAGAAGCAATCAAACGAACAAAAGAGCAACAATATGTAAGTGCCGGATAGCCTAACGCAGTACACAACGCCACAACGTGTTACAACACCAGATTACCAAGATTTTTTTTTCTATTACCAGGACCATGTCACTGCAGATTGATGGTGCTCACTTTGGTCACACACAACTATAATTATATAGTCATGTCATTGATGAATTCCTGCTCAGAACCTGTGCTTTAATAAAAAACAAAGGGAAGCATTCAAATGTGCCTTACAATCTTAAAGCTTACAGACTCTTACAGACAATAAATATGTGCACTTATAAAGTAAAAAGTGAGGAGGTTTCAGATGATTGAGATACAGTTTGACCAATGTTTGCATGCATGACCGACCAATGGTGGCGTGCAAGAAGGCGGGACCTAAAGAGAAAGGTCAAAGCAATGCAAAATAGAAGACAAATCTTGAAGGAGTGGGTGATTTTCCCTTTGCTGCTGATGGGAGTGGGCGCTCAAAAAAAAAAAAAAAGAAATCCTGCTGTCCCACATTTTGGCGCACAACAAGAATGATGGAGTTGCATAAACACTAGTCTTGCTGTGGAAGTCGGGTTTACACAGTGTTTGGCCATACACCAACTACATTACATGCCCACCTCGGCACCGCCCCCACAGTGACGGAGCTAATGCCCAGCTAGCAGGGAACATTCTCAGAACTTTGGCTAACATTCCGTATAGGTTTGGTTAATATTTTAGAGAAAACGTTTGAATGCAATGTTCAAAAAATGTTTCTTATTTCAGATAATGTTCCTACAATGTTGAGTGTAAACAAAGCTAGAACATTTTACCTGCAACATTTTATAGATGTTCTTGAGGTAACAGATTATACAATGTTCTCAGTAAAACATTGGCACAATGTTTCAAGATGACAAAGGAAGAACATTCTCTTAGCCACATTAGGAGAACAGTATACAGTGAATCCAGAAAGTTTTTCACAGCATGTTACAGCCTTATTCCAAAATGGATTAAAATTCATTATTTTCCTCAATTCTACAAACAATACCCCATAATGACAACGTGAAATATGTTTTTGAAAAGACACATCTTGAAGGAGTGGGTGATTTTCCCTTTGCTGCTGATGGGAGTGGGCGCTCAAAAAAAAAAAAAGAAATCCTGCTGTCCCACATTTTGGCGCACAACAAGAATGATGGAGTTGCATAAACACTAGTCTTGCTGTGGAAGTCGGGTTTACACAGTGTTTGGCCGTACACCAATTTCATTACATGCCCACCTCGGCACCGCCCCCACAGTGACGGAGCTAATGTCCAGCTAGCAGGGAACATTCTCAGAACTTTGGCTAACATTCCGTATAGGTTTGGTTAATGTTTTAGATAAAACATTTGAATGCAATGTTCAAAAAATGTTTAAGAATGTTTCTTATTTCAGATAATGTTCCTACAATGTTGAGTGTAAACGAAGCTAGAACATTTTATAGATGTTTTGTGGATGTTCTTGAGGTAACAGATTATACAATGTTCTCAGTAAAACATTGGCACAATGTTTCAAGATGACAAAGGAAGAACATTCTCTTAGCCACATTAGGAGAACTGTATACAGTGAATCCAGAAAGTTTTTCACAGCATGTTACAGCCTTATTCCAAAATGGATTAAAATTCATTATTTTCCTCAATTCTACAAACAATACCCCATAATGACAACGTGAAATATGTTTTTGAAATCTTTTCAAATTTATATAAAAAAAAAAAAACCAACACACACACGTGCATAAGTATTTACAGCCTTTGCTCAATACTATGTTGAAGCACCTTTGGCACCGATTACAGCCTCAAGTCTTTTTTGAGTATGATGCTACAAGCTCGGCACACCTATTTTTGGGCAGTTTCTCCCATTCTTCTTTGCAGGACCTCTCAACCTCCATCAGGTTCGATGGGGAGTGTTGGTGCACATTTTCAGATCTCTCGAGATGTTGAATCGGGTTCAAGTCTGGGCCACTCAAGGACATTCACAGAGTTGTCATGTAGCCACTCCTTTGTTATCTTGGCTGTGTGCTTAGGGTAATTGTCCTGTTGGAAGATGAACCGTCACCCCAGGTTTTCATCAAGGATGTCTCTGTACATTGCTGCATTCATCTTTCCCTCGATCCTGACTAGTCGCCCAGTTCCTGCCGCTGAAAAACAGCATGATGCTGCCACCACCATGCTTCACTGTAGGGATGGTATTGGGCAGGTGAGGAGCGGTGCCTGGTTTCCTCCAGACATGACACTTGCCAATGAGTTCAATCTTTGTTTCATCAGACCAGAGAATTTTGTTTCTCATCTGAGAGTCCTTCAGGTGCCTTTTGGTGAACGCCACTCTACCATACAGGCCTGATTGGTGGAGTGCTGCAGAGATAGTTGTTCTTCTGGAAGGTTCTCATCTCTCCACAGAGAAATGCTGGAGCTCTGTCAGAGTGACCATCGGGTTCTTGGTCACCTCCCTGACTAAGGCCCTTCTCCCCCAATCTTTCAGCTTCGCTGCGCGGCCCACTCTAGCAATCCCGTCTTGGAGGTTTACAGACAAGTCCTTGGAATTTATGGCTTGGTTTGTGCTCTGACATGCAGTTAACTGTGAGACCTTATATAGACAGGTTTGTGCCTTTCCAAATCCTGTCCAATCAACTGAATTTACCACAGGTGGACTCCAATCAAGTTGTAGAAACATCTCAAGGATGATCAGTGGAAACAGGATGCACCTGAGCTAAATTTTGAGTGCCATGGCAAATGCTGTGAATATTATGTACATGTGATTTTTTTTTCAGTTTTTTATTTTTAATAAATTTGCAAAGATTTCAAACAAACTTCTTTCACATTGTCATTATGGGGTATGTTTGTAGAATTTTGAGGAAAATAATGAATTTAATCCATTTTGGAATAAGGCTGTAACATAAAATGTGGAAAAAGTGAAGCGCTGTGAATACTTTCCGGATGCACTGTAAGGATGTCATTGAGGCCGGAGGTGATGGATTGTTTTTTATAAAACGTTTTTATAATGTGACGTATTAACAAAGCTAGAACATTTTATCTGCAACATTTTGAGGATGTTGTTGAGGTAACAGTTTATACAATATTGTCAATGAAACATTGGCACAATGTTTCAAGATAACAAAGAAAGAACATTCTCTCAGCCACATTAGGAACATGTTATAGCCTGTGGATATTATTGAG